TTTTTTTTAGTTTTTTAAACATTTTTTTTAGCTTTTTGTATTCTTGCTTTTTTGTTTTCCTTTTTTGCATATGAACAGGCCTGAGGGTTCTGACTCATTCTATTCTGGGGAGTGTCAGTCCGGTTGCTTGTCCACTAGCAAATCAGATACGACGCATATGATTAACTTCCCTTGCTGGAGGGTTCTAGTGTACCTAGTGTTTCCTTCCGTTGAAGCCGAAGGACCCCTGTAGAGCATTGATTGCTCCTGCGGATGACGATTAACTAACAGGCTTGCTTTCCTTCTAGAATTTCTCTCAGTCCGCCTGTGCAAGGACTACCAGATTGTCGTCACATCCCACCGTTTTCACCCGGCTAAAATGACTGGTCATTATCACCGTATCTAGACTGAAAGTTGCCCCAAATACAGCTATAATGAACGGGCATTCTATTCGGATGAAGATGGTAGAGTTGGCGAAGGTGAGCCTGTCAATGTTTTACCCTCCTGCTGTCCCCCACTACCGTCCGCTTAAACGTGTGTAACCTGGGTCACACCGTTTCACACAACTCTGCTGGTTGACTCATTTCTTTCTGTTCGTGTGTGGTTTCGCCTCAGTGCGCGGAGGTTTCTATTTTTGGGGGCATCAGGTGCTGGGAACCGGGCCCAGTGTCCCTGATAAAGAGGATGCAATAATGAAAATTGAAGACGATATGATGATGATTTGATGACAATTTGGATGATTAGGATGACTAGGAATGTAACTTAGCTGTCCTTCAGGGCACCAGTTAAAATTGGAACGATACAGAGAAGATTAGCATGGCTCCTGCGCACGGATGACACGCATAAATCGAGAAATGGTCCAAAAAAAAAAGGAATGTAACTTGGCTTTGATTTAGAAGATAAGCCAGCTTAGATGTTACATGCTGCGCCTCCACACGAGGGCCATTTTCCAGGCCCTGCTTCGTTCAGGCTGGAAGCCTGAATTTCAGGCTCAAGGCCTGGAAATAAGGGCCTGCAGACCCCATGACGGTTCAGCTCGAAAGCCTGACATCCGGGGCCCACAGGCCCTGCATCGTTTCAGCCTAAAAAAGGCCTGAGCCTTT